AGCGACTCACACACACACGACTCACACACAGACATACGTGGATTCACACACACATTGACGTAAACACACATGTACTTACACACACACATATCGACTGCCATGCAGACACATCGACTTACACACACGCATTCACTTAGACACACACACATGGAGTGAAACACACACGTATGGACTTACACAGACATGTGGACTAACACACACACAGAGACTGATATGCACAAAAATGGACTGACACACAAACACTTGTACGTACAAACACACACATGGGGCGTTTTCCGTTTGAAAAAGACAGACACACACATGGACTTACACACAGACATGGACCCACATACATAGAAACCCATCGACTTACATGCACACAAACACATATGGACTCACACACACAGACATCGACTTTAGACTTGATAGCAGTAACTGCATGCATTTGGGGGGGGAAGAGGACATCACACTGTGAAGAGAAATCAGCAGCGTGATGTGTATATTTATTCCATGTTAAAGGCGTAAAATAAAATGTCCGCCCCCCCTCCCCCCAGGCAATTGTCGTGAGTTGTTACGGTCGATGTCACGCAATAAGTAAATAATTAAATTAAGAATGCTACTAATTCGTTAATTAAACGACTTAAAACTTTAGGGACGTGAAAACGGAATAGCCTATTCCCACCACGGAGCTTAGGGTGTGCCGGCTGGCAAATTATTTCGGTCTTAAAACCCACCGTCAGAGAACCAAATCCCCCGTAAGCGCGAGCGTGCAGAGACTTTTATATATAAGAGAAAGAAAGAAAGAGAAGAACAAGAAGACTAGTGGAAGTACCCGGCATTGCCCAGGCAAAAAATGTATTTCAAAACTTCTAAAAAACCTAACATATACATATGTAATGTGAGAATATATCCGGGTCGCTGACGATCATAACTCGTCACGATGATTGGCTCTGCCGGTCCTAGTCCATAGGCAATGGGGGAAGCCTAGGGCGTGGCCCTGACGTAACGGGAAGGTGAGTAGAGGATTGGTTCTGCTGGCTTTAGCCACAGCCAATGGGGAGACGAGTCAGGGGCGTGGTCCCGGGAGCCTACGATGGAGTCTAGAAGATTCCACAGAGGCTAACCAGGATTGGTGGAAAGGTACCACGTGACCCGGGTATTAAATAGGGGTGGAGATGAACAACACGTGGTCAGAACTGGAACGAACGGAGGGAGAGGCCACGCGAGAGCGGGGGTCAAGGCAGCCACGTGGCTGCGCGCGTCTCTCTCTCTCTATCCCTCTCACGCTGTCTGTCAGCAACATGAAGGAGTGTTGTAAAGAAAGACAAAGAAAGACTGGATTCCAGAAGTCGCTTCCACGACCTTTATTACACATACACAGATACTAAGGTATTGTGAAAGTCCAGTGGGCCGTTTGTCCATTTCTCCACCAACAAAATTATAAGAGGCTTGCAGAAGTCAAAAAAGTTATATAAGGTGGGGGGTAAATAGTTGATCTAAAAGGTTACCGAAAATAGTCGACCCCCCCCTAAAAAAGGTATTTACCCCCGCGTAGGTATATATTCCTACATATGCTACCTACAACAGAGTAAGTGGTATCTCCTGACTGCACTGAGCCAGTAGTAGCTACTGACTGTATAGTAGTATTTACTGACCGTAGTGGTATATACTGACTGTTTTAGTATCTAACTCTATATAGCAGTATCTACCAACTCGATAGCAGTATCTGTCACTACAGCAGTGCATATCGACTGTGGTGGTACCTGCTATCACTACAGCAGTGTATACCGACTGTGGTGGTTCCTGCTATTACTACAGCAGTGCATACTGACTGTGGTGGTAGCTGCTTTCGCTATAGCAGTGCATACCAACTGTGTGGATACCTGCTATGACTACAGCAGTGCCTCGTGACTGTGGTGTAACCTATCACAAAGGCAGTGCATACTGACAGTGGTGGTACCTGGTATCACAAGAGCAGTGCATACTGACTGTGGTGGTACCTGTTATCAGTACAGCAGTGCATACTGTGGTGGTAGCTGGTATGATTACAGCAGTGCATAGTGTGGTGGTACCTGCTATGATTACAGCAGTGCATATTGTGGTGGTACCTGCTATGATTACAGCAGTGCATATTGACTGTGGTGGTACCTGCTATGATTACAGCAGTGCATACTGACTTTGGTGGTACCTGCTATGATTACAGCAGAGCATAGTGACTGTGGTGGTACCTGCTAGCACAGCAGTAGTATATACTGTTTCGCAGTATATATGGAATCTATAGCACAAAGTAGTAAGCAGAGTGCCGTGGTGAGGCCTAGTCCCCTGCAGAGCCCCCGGGCTCGCCTAGATTTACCAGCTCGCCAAGGTGTCACCTGGCAGGCTGGGGGCTGGTCCTGACCCCCGGCCACGCGACAATAATGAGATGTAAGCGCTATAATATAATGTAGGGGCTCTATAGTCATTTCAGGACGCAATGGGGGTATCATTGTGGTGGGGCGAGAAGAGGACATCGCACTGTGAAGAATCTACGTGTTGTGTTTTTGCTGCATATGTAAGGCGAATGCAAATTTGTGGCGATTGTGTGTGCGTTGCTAGGGCAACCCATGTGAGCAGTGCAAAGTGTAATTAAATAAATGCTCATAAGACGAATTTGTGGGACTTACGTCTTATCTAAAAGCATATCATACAAAAGTGTGCGACTTACCTTGGGCGATGGCGCGTGTGGATTTCTGGGGGTAACCTCGTGGGCGCTGTGCGCAAGTGCAGCTCGCTGCGTTGTGACCCAGTGCACGGCGAAGATAAATAAATAAAAATACAAACTAACCAAATAATGAAATTTATCTCGCCAAAAAAACGCTAATTTAACTAATTTCAAGGTGACGGACGTGAAAAATGAATAGCCGATTCCCACCGCGGGGCTTCTGGCGTGCTGGCTCGCAAGTTTTTTTCGACAAAGCCCACCGAGAGCCAAATCCCTCGCAAGCGCGCGCGTGCGGAGACTTTTATATATAAAAGAAAAAAAATAACGGTATGCATAATACAGTGAAAATGCTCTCATCTTCATTATTTGTGACCTACCAATGTCTGTAGCCAGGATCTATCGATAACAATCCTATTACCTGCAGATATTTAACAGATGAGATGCGTTGCACCGTTAATGCCTCCTGTTTGATAATACTTCTCTTGTCCGTATGCATCTGTGCAGATAGGTTTTTTTGTGGTTAAGCCATAGTCCCCACATACCGCTCGTATCAATGCGAATAAGTGGAGCGACGACCCACTGTAGAACATTGGTTTCAACGCTTGTTACAATATGAACAGCGCATTGAAAACGCGCACTATTTTATTTACTGTTTACAAAGTGTGTTTACAAATCCACACTGAGAAACACGCTTGACAGAGGGGTATAAATTATACTGGTAGGAACCACCTGGTTCCACCAGCCCACAGGGGATTGTGCCCGTCCGTAGTGCATCCAAAAATTGGAAGGGGTGGGGCTGGGTGGAGAGGGTGGGGAGGGGCTGGTCACCCCGTGGTGCCCTTTTAAAACTCAACGTTTAACCTACTCACGCCGGCTTGTGCCCACCCTCAGTCGGCCATATTTGCGGAATACACCACGCCGCCGTTGACCGACCAACCCAACGTTCCTTCCAGCTCCCTCCGCAGGAATGTGTTTTTTTCGATAGTGTATTTAAATAGAGGTACTGCAGGTAAGTAGTTTTCAGTTTTAAAGGCATAGTTTAATAAGACAACACTTGCCATCATCCTTCAAACCCATTGGTATAATGTAAACTCAAGTTTTTATTTACATTATGTTTATGCAAGAGCTTATGGGACCACGGAGCCCCACCATAAGGAGAATTGTGAATTGTAAAAATTCTGTATTGAAAGAGCTTGCCGTTATAAATTTAGAAACTCCAAAGCAGGCTTTAAATGAAAACAACACACATTTACAACTGAGATTAACCTTTATTAAACGCAGATTGATCAGTATTCAACAGCAGCCACTTCATGTGGATGAAGAGAGCATGCATAGATAGCAAAGTGCGCAATGACTACAACATCTGTGCTGCTTGACTATGGGTTCTGCAACTTACGAGTGGTGTTTCCTATCTTACACATCACGCGTGCATCGTATACCGACAACTCTGGTTACGCTCGTTTATCCAACAAAGCCACACCGAGTCTCAATACTCTTTTTCAGGAGAGTCTTGCCACGTTTTTTTCCATCGGGACAAAGTTGCTGTGTAATCCTAATGTAGTAATTTGCATTTAAATAGTGTTTTTTTCTTTGGGATAAAACTGGAAATCCCAGAGGAAACCCATGCAGAACAGAGGGAGATCATACAAACCCCACACAGGAGCCCGATTCAGAAATCGAAACTAGGTCCTTCTTGCTTTGAGGCACTGCGCCACCCTGCAGACTATTGTAACATACTCGAGGCTACCAGTTGGCCAGCGCGGTTGGTAACCAGTATGCAAGGCATTGCTTGAAACAGGTTTGCATCTTCATTGTATGGTACTCTTGTTTCAGCAGTCTGACACAATTAAAAAATAATTTGTTTTTAACCAACTTCATTTAGGAGTCACAGGTTTTATTTAGCATTTTGACGAAAATGTTCAATATAATTTACGTGCATATCTGAGAATGGGAGTAAAATCAAGGCAACTTTAATATTTAAAATATTGAGTCACTATGATAAGTCAAACATAATTCATATTAGAGGATATTAACATGTAGGTTTGTACCTAATTGCTGAATTTGGTTAAGAGAATCTGTTCTTTCAACTTATCAGTGAGCTGAAACAACAATGACTGCTGCATAAAACATTTGACAATTTACTTGCTTGGTTGTATTGACAAAAATGTGGTCTGATCACGTGGCCTAATCAATAAAATAAAAGTATAATTTGGAACAGCGTTTCTTTAAGGGGCAATTCAACTTCAAGGAAATGGGCATATCTTTAAATGTTATACTTTAACTTTGAAGCAAGTGTTGATGAAATTGTGTAGTTTTGATTTTACTTCAACCAGATCAACTTGTCACCCACATCTGCATTGTATCCTGGTGAGTATTTCCGCCCAGGCAGCTGAAAAACAAAAGTGTCACCATTTACGTTAAAATTTGTATTCATCACTCGAATCAAGCTTGCAAGTTCACATCCTGGTTTAGAGATTGATTTAGCCCACAATCCCTCGGGGTTCAATAAACAGAGTACGAATTTGAGGGGAAGTCAATCGTGGTTGTCTGATGGACTCTCCCCAGGAATGTGAATTCCGTAAGCGGGGAATGATGCTAATTTGAGCAGGAGATTACTTGAAAATTGTTGTTACAGATTCTTCACACTGTGAGGGTATTTTCTCTAGGCTAGTGTGTTCGCTGAGACCAGCTCTTCAGGGGCTCATGATGAATGGTGAACCAAGTCTTTAGGCATAAACTAAGTCTTTCTGCACTGTCAACGCATGATGCAACGTGTAATAACCAGAAAATTATGTATTTGGTGAAAAAATAATAACACCAATTTTGAGTATAAACTCGTGTTAATATGGAGGCCACCTCATCCATGTCCCAGCATGACTTGGTGTCACTATCCTTATAGGTGCTTGGTCTCAAGATGCTTGCGATGGCTCAGGCAAGGAAGGTACATCAGTCTGGTTAGTGATGTTTAACCTTGTTATTCTTATGCTAATTTACTAATTTCTGTAATTCTAAGTTCCCTAAAATGTGAATATCCATTTTTGTTATTCGATTCTCTGGTCTATGCACATGAATGATCAAATATTTAAAAGTTCCTTCTAAAGTTAACAAAAGGAATAGTAATTTGAACTCAAAACTAATAGATTTGATCTGATAAAAACTAACACATTTAGAGTAATGTATGACATTGTAGGCGATAAATGAACAAGTTACAGAACAACACTTCCTAAACTATTTCATTGTCGCCGTAGCTAAGCCCCTTCTTCTCTAATTGTCACTTGTAAAGGCATTGAAATAAATGGTGCGATACCAATTCAGTCACAGATGGGTAACGAAAAACAATAATCTTGAAGGAGCAATCAAGACCAATGTACACATACTGCAGTGAGAAATATAGAGCTATTACACGAGTCAATGCGTTGGTGTGGTGAAGGTGAGTGGTGGTTGGTAGCTCACATTACGGTAGGAGTAATAGATTTCTTCAACTTCGTAAGGCCCGACGGTGGCTTCTGGGACGAACATTGATGTGACGGTCAGGTTGGCCACTTTCATCTTATCAGACATGCTGGGGTAGAGGGTGAAGAGTGGAGGTATGTGTAGGAGGGAGAGAATCAATGCACATTTAGAAATAGTTTGGCCAATACAGGTTAATGGCCAATACCAGTTACATTTGTAGTGACTGTGAATGTCACTGTATGGTGCCGGGCTTACGAAGCCAAGGTGGATAATGTGTTGGCATTATGTGTAGCCCGCTTACTGGGCATAGTACCAGCCCTAGCGGAGCTTGGGTGAGCGCTGGTCAGCACCACGCACAGTGTGCGGTGCGGGCTCCCGGTGAGGGAGCGAGAGGGAGTGTCAGCCAGCCAGGGTTACGTCGGGGCATGATACGCTGGTTGACCTGCCGACACGTGACTGGATGATATTGGAGGGGAGCCACCGGTGGACGGGGGCCGCTGGGCGATCACGTGGTATAAAAGAGCTCTCGGGAGCCTTCAGGAAAGAACTCGAGAAATCTAGAAGGTGGGCGGGGCGAGGGGCGGAGCTAGCTCCAGCCCAGGCCGATATAACGGTGGCCCCGTGAGGGGCTCGGGGTTCTTCGTGTTGCTGGTGAAGAAGATCCACGTCGGGTAAAAGAAGCCTCTAGCCACACAGTCCGGGACCAGCTTGTGGTCCGGGCCAGGATAGCGAACCGTGTCTAGTTCTGCCGTAGCGTGGCTAGATGGGCATTCAACACCCAAGTGTAGGTTGTGTTATGTTATGTTGAGTTGGTGAAATAGTGTTGCTCCCAAGACAACGTCTGCGACTCAGTTGGACTCACTACACGTTGTATATTTTAAATGCGCTATAGTACCAGGAGGAAAGATATTCAGAACATTGGGGAGAACATACAAACTCCACAAAGAAAGACACCGGTCGAAGATTGAACCCAGGCTCTTCTGGCTGTGAGCCACACGTGTTACCATTGTGCCACACAAACAAAGATCCCCCATATAGCCTTAACAGACTGTAGGGGCAAGTGCTGTTAGCGAGCACCTATGAAGGCCGGAACAGTACACTAGGGGGTGGGTGGCCAGCACTACGCCCGACCGCCTTTGTCTCCCTAGTGGCGATGTTTACACACCACACCAGGTAATCTTTGAGGCCGAGTCGACCTAGGGGAGGCCCAGGACCGGTTCAGATAATCGTCACTGGTGTTTGCCATGAGCGGGAATCGAACCCGGTCGCCAGGTTCGTAGTGCAGCGCGCTAACCGCTACACTACCGCTCCCCACCACACTGCCACTCTATCACAAGCAGCATTCAGCAAGAGACCACTTACAAGTCACGAATGTGGTACAAGGTCACGTTATCCTGCAGCTTCCATGGATCCTTTTCCCAATTCAAGCTGATGATGTCGTCGTACACCTGTAATGCACGTACACGCAGACACGCACACACGTGTATGCGCTACAAGAGCACTCTCTGTTGCCAATGCTTTATCTACTTTTCTGCGACTATCCATGATTCCAGGTACTACGTGGCGATGCTGCACGTGGCCAGTAATCTGTGGAAGTGAGAGTTGGTGTATCACACGCACATTTGTGCAACTTCTGGCTTTCCAGGATATGGCAGTACAGCAAGTGTATTAATTTCCATCTCTATTCCATCTATATGGGGATTGAGTGTCACCACCCTCGCATGTATGGGTTTTCTACGGGTACTTTGATTTACTCCCACACGTGTAAACAGTGCGCTTTAAACATTCTCCAGTATGTTTAGAAGCAATTTGCAAGCATGATGCTATATTTAAATAAAATGTATTATCGTATCACAATAATAATTATCGTTATCTAATTACAAAGATCTCCGAGTTCACCACTTATAATTATGCCTTTCTATACCAAAAAATGAAGAAACATGAACCCATAGATTTACAGTACGGTCCCACAAAACGTTCAAAGAAGCAGGAAGTCCTGGAGTTTGGTGCACCTGGTTTAGTCAGATTATAAACAGGAGGAACCACAACACAAAATAATTTCGAAAATCAGCGAGTAGTTAATCAGATGAAACCTAGTAAAGCATTCTCTCAGATGACCTTTTGACCTTGAGCCTATGTGGTAATTATTCAAGTTCAAAACTTCCATGGATTTTTTTTTGTAAACGAGTCCACAAACAAGAACTGGATGTTTTAAATGTGAATTGTAAAAGCTACCCGCTCAGTATCTTCTGCGATTTTCCAGTTGTACTCCAAGACCTCTGACACTTTTCTGCAAAGACAGACACACATGCTAGCTGACATCCTCACTCCCAAACTCCGTGCAAAGGACACAACGCACTGGGGACAGACAAGTTTCACTCTATACCATATATAAATGTAATGTCTTCAAGCGCAATTCTACTTGCAACATTACTATAGTCTGTCATATGTCCGACTGTCAGTGGTGTGAACATGCACACATTTCTCAAGGAAGTTTGTGCATGTGGTGCAATAAAATACTTATGTTACCTGGCTTCTGGCAGGAACTTCTGCTTGTAGCAGGCATCAATGTTGGTCAAGTAGGCAGGGGAGATGTTCTGCTCCATTGGCTGTAAGCAAATGCCAGGACCGCACATACATTATGCCTTTCCACAACAAAACCCTACCATATTGTGATGGAACATTAAACGTCCCAAATACTCGCTTTAAGGGATTTATTTAGGCGATGTAACAAGTGTATAATGTATAAACATAATTATGTTGGTGTTTCAACCAAAAGTGCCACGTCTCCCGAAAGAGCAAACATTTTTACGCGTGATTATGCACTGCTGTCAAAGCAGCATCAACAGAAACTTTGTATAAAATGTATTACAAGTCTAGCCATAGACCTGTATTTTACAGGTAGGAACAACAGTTCCACACTGCCCACCAGGGATTATTTGTCTGTCTGTCTGTCGTGCATAGCCACGCCCTCGATTTGTATTTCATAGAGCACTTCTGGCGGGCTCAGCACCACGTGACGCGCCGCTTGCGCCACGTGACACGGATCGCACGAATGCGCTGTCCAACCAAGTTCCTACCTGCCCACTCCGAAGGAATGTGTTTAGTCACGGCTCAGTTCAGCCTTGGCTCTGGCTCAGATGAACCAGCTAAAAACCACGCTCAACTTGAGACGGCTCTGAGCTTTGGCTCAGCCACGTTCAGGATTTCCGTGACCTGAGCCCGAGCCAAGCTACGGCTGAGCCACTCGTATATCTGTGAAAGCAGCTGAGCCGTGTCAGAGGCCAGGTCAGAGCCGACTCGTGACTAAGACCACGGGACGTATTGTCTGGGACAGACGTAACGGTGTGCTGTCACCTTTGCCTTCTGCTTGAGACGGGCCTGCACCTCCTCTACAGGCATGTCGATATACACCACCAGGTGTGGCGGCAGGAACTCGCATATGCTGATCGCCTTCAGCTCGTTGTAGTAATCCACACCTGTGAGTGACCGAACATCATATTAGCCCCTTTGCCTTTAATACATTTGAAACCACAGAGTGAAAAAAACACTCAAAATATGGATTTTTTACCATAAATCCATAAAGAAGGGACACCCCTTCATCCTATCGTCTCTACCATTGACTCACCCACCACCAAACTGGCCCGATTTCTGTCTGAGACCTTACAACCATTCACTGGTAAGACCACCCCAGCTGTACTCAACTCAGCTCACTTGGTATTGTTAATTAAGGACATCTCACTATCTCCAGGTGATTTGCTCATTAGTTTCGATGTGGTCTCTTTGTTTACCAAAGTTCCTGTGCCTGACACCATTGCAATCATTGAAGATTTGGTCCAACAAAGACTGAATGCTGATGTACCGGCCCTGGTGAGACACTGCCTGACTAACACTTACTTCACCTGGAATGGAACATTCTACAAACAAGTTGAAGGTACCCCAATGGGTTCTCCCTTATCTCCAGTTGTAGCCAATTTTTTCATTAAAAATTTTGAGACAGATGCCATCCAGGCATCCACTCTACGTCCGTCGTTGTGGAAGAGGTACGTAGGTGACACGTTCGTCATCTGGCCGCATGGCTGACCAGCTCTGAACCAATTCCTCAACCACATCAATTCCATACACCCAGCCATCAAATTCACCATGGAGGTGGAAAAGGATGGCAAGTTACCATTCTTGGATGTTTTAATTGAAAAAAGACCAGATGGCTCAATGGGACACTGTCTACAGGAAAGCCACCCACACGGATGCCTACTTAAAACCTGACTCCCACCACCATCCATCCCAGAATAATTCCCTCATCAAAACTCTACACCATAGAGCTCGATGTATTTCCGACCATCATCACCTAGCCAGTGAACTGGAACACGTACACCAAGCCCTCAAGATGAATGGATATTCAGACTACACAATCCGTAAAGCTATCACCCCAAACATCTGAGGACCCAATCAAAACCATCACCTTGCCATACATAGCAGGGGCCAAAGAAAATATTTCCAAAATCATGAGCAAACACAAAATCCAGGTTCGATTTAAAACAGTACATAAAATTCGTGATCTGATTCCATCTGTGAAGGATGTGATCCCTGACATGCAATACTCCGGCGTCTATAAACTAAGCTGTGTCTGCGGCAGTAGTTACATTGGGGAAACAAAGCGACATGTCTCGGACCATGTTCGTTAACATAAGGTAGATCTGAAACACGGGAGGACCAATATCTCGGCCGTGGCTGATCATTGTATTAATGCGGTGGGCTCAGACGAAATGTATTTCTCTAAGAAGACGGTACTTTGCAAGCCCACTGGCTATCAAAACAGATTAGTTCATGAAGCCATCCAAAAAATGTAGTGTCTTGTAAAATCACTCAGTCGGACACGTTGTCACAAGTCACCTGCTTACACTTTATTACCCTATTCTTGCACCAGTTGTAGGCACTCCTATCTCTGTCTATATGGCCACTTTTGTTAACCAACTTCTCCCATCTACTTTACACCTCGCTGACCTGCCTGCAGCAGCTCTTCCTCTCAGCAGCTCCGCACTCACAGCTCCGCACAGACAGCAGCTCACACAGACTCTTAGGTTTTTTTCGGTAAGGTCACGTAGGTAAAAAATAAAATAAAAAATTACTAAAAGTAATAATAGAAATAAAATAAAATAATAAATCACGACGTTTTGGAGGCAAGACAAGTCTCCGTCATCAGGTGGGACCGTCACAGCTAGATTTGTTGTATCAAGTGAGGCAGAGATTCCAAGATACAAGTTCTTAAATACAAGCTTAAGGGGGGAGGAGGGACATTCTGTCTACAGGAAAGCCACCCACACAGATTCCTACTTGAAACCTGATTCCCACCACCACCCATCTCAAAATAATTATCTCATCAAAACGCTATACCACAGAGCTCATGGCATTTCTGACCAACACCACCTGGCCAGTGAACTAAGACATGGACATCGGGCCCTCAGGATGAACGGATACTCTGACCGCACCATCCGCCAAGCTGTTTCTCCCACCATACAGAAACAGCCACTTGAAACTACGATCAAAACTATCACGTTGCCATACATAGCAGGCGTGACTAAAAAGATCTCCAAAATTCTAAATAAACATAAGATCCAAGTCTGATTTAGTACAGTGAAGGATGTCATCCCTGACTTGCAATACCCTGGAGTCTATAAACTGAGTTGCAGCTGTGGTGATTGTTACATTGGGGAAACGAAACGTCATGTCTCTGATCGTGTCCGCGAGCACAAGTCAGATCTGAAACACGGAAAAATTTAGTCTTCTGCCGTTGCCGATCATTGCTACAACGCTGTGGGCTCTCATATTGTTTTTTCCGAGACCAAGGTGCTCTGCAAACCCTCTGGCTACCATCAAAGGTTTGTACATGAAGCCATCCAGATTTACAAACACAGACATAATTTCAACCGTGATGATGGGTACAACTGAGTAATCATTGGAAAGATGTTATTAACCATGTAAAAAATATTTAACTACGCATTTTTGGACCATCTTATTTGACAGGCATTTACTTTACCGAGTGTTAACATCCCCAGCGTTTAACAGTACTCTCCTTTTTGTATTTGATTGTCAACCAACACTGGATAAAACAACATGGCCATTTTCGTTCTCTTCTAGCATGTGCACCAACAGGTCCAACAGTTCCACACACTCTCTTTTAGCCCGACCCCCTTCCCAATACGTTCCTTTCATTGACCACCACATTCAGATAAGCCCCTCCCTCCCTCCTCCCCCCTTAACTTGTATTTAAGAACTTGTATCTTAGAATCTCTGCCTCACTTGATACAGCAAATCTAGCTGTGACGGTCCCACCTGATGACGGAGACTTGTGTTGTCTCCGAAACATCGTGATTTATTATTTTTATTTCTATTATTACTTTTAGTAATTTTTTATTTTATTTTTTCCCTACGTGACTTTACCGAAAAAAACCTAAGAGTATGAATCCTTGCAGTCACGAAAGCTTCAAATCTAGAAGCTCACACAGAGCTTGCACACGGCTGCGCTCACACAGAGCTTGCACACAGCAGCGTTCACAGAGGCTTCAACCCAGCTCACTCACACAAAGCTTCCACCCAGCTTCACTCAGAGCTTCCACCCAGCTTGCACACAGCAGCGTTCACAGAGGCTTCCAACCAGCTTCACTCACGCAGAGCTTCCACCCAGCTTCACTCACTCAGAGCTTCCACCCAGCTTCACTCACGCAGAGCTTCCACCCAGCTTCACTCACTCAGAGCTTCCACCCAGCTTCACTCACACAGAGCTTCCACCCAGCTTCACTCACACAGAGCTTCCACCCAGCTTCACTCACTCAGAGCTTCCACCCAGCTTCACTCACGCAGAGCTTCCACCCAGCTTCACTCACGCAGAGCTTCCACCCAGCTTCACTCACTCAGAGCTTCCACCCAGCTTCACTCACTCAGAGCTTCCACCCAGCTTCACTCACGCAGAGCTTCCACCCAGCTTCACTCACTCAGAGCTTCCACCCAGTTTCACTCACGCAGAGCTTCCACCCAGCTTCACTCACTCAGAGCTTCCACCCAGCTTCACTCACACAGAGCTTCCACCCAGCTTCACTCACACAGAGCTTCCACCCAGCTTCACTCACACAGAGCTTCCACCCAGCTTCACTCACACACAGCTTCCACCCAGCTTCACTCACACAGAGCTTCCACCCAACTTCACTCACTCAGAGCTTCCACCCAGCTTCACTCACTCAGAGCTTCCACCCAGCTTCACTCACACAGAGCTTCCACCCAGCTTCACTCACGCAGAGCTTCCACCCAGCTTCACTCACTCAGAGGCTTCCACCCAGCTTCACTCACACAGAGCTTCCACCCAGCTTCACTCACACACAAGGCTTCCACCCAGCTTCACTCACACAGAGCTTCCACCCAGCTTCACTCACACAGAGCTTCCACCCAGCTTCACTCACTCAGAGCTTCCACCCAGCTTCACTCACACAGAGCTTCCACCCAGCTTCACTCACTCAGAGGCTTCCACCCAGCTTCACTCACTCAGGCTTCCACCCAGCTTCACTCACACAGAGCTTCCACCCAGCTTCACTCACACAGAGCTTCCACCCAGCTTCACTCACACAGAGCTTCCACCCAGCTTCACTCACACAGAGCTTCCACCCAGCTTCACTCACTCAGAGCTTCCACCCAGCTTCACTCACACAGAGCTTCCACCCAGCTTCACTCACACAGAGGCTTCCACCCAGCTTCACTCACACAGAGCTTCCACCCAGCTTCACTCACTCAGAGGCTTCCACCCAGCTTCACTCACACAGAGCTTCCACCCAGCTTCACTCACTCAGAGCTTCCACCCAGCTTCACTCACACAGAGCTTCCACCCAGCTTCACTCACACAGAGCTTCCACCCAGCTTCACTCACACAGAGCTTCCACCCAGCTTCACTCACTCAGAGCTTCCACCCAGCTTCACTCACACAGTCTTCCACCCAGCTTCACTCACACAGAGCTTCCACCACCAGAGCTTCCACCCAGCTTCACTCACTCAGAGCTTCCACCCAGCTTCACTCACCACAGAGCTTCCACCCAGCTTCACTCACTCAGAGCTTCCACCCAGCTTCACTCACGCAGAGCTTCCACCCAGCTTCACTCACACAGAGCTTCCACCCAGCTTCACTCACACAGAGCTTCCACCCAGCTTCACTCCAGAGCTTCCACCCAGCTTCACTCACACAGAGCTTCCACCCACCGAGCTTCCACCCAGCTTCACTCAAACAGAGCTTCCACCCAGCTTCACTCACTCAGAGCTTCCACCCAGCTTCACTCACTCAGAGCTTCCACCCAGCTTCACTCACTCAGAGCTTCCACCCAGCTTCACTCACACAGAGCTTCCACCCAGCTTCACTCACACAGAGCTTCCACCCAGCTTCACTCACACAGAGCTTCCACCCAGCTTCACTCACTCACAAGCTTCCACCCAGCTTCACTCACTCAGAGCTTCCACCCAGCTTCACTCACTCAGAGCTTCCACCCAGCTTCACTCACACAGAGCTTCCACCCAGCTTCACTCACACAGAGCTTCCACCCAGCTTCACTCACACACAGCTTCCACCCAGCTTCACTCACACAGAGCTTCCACCCAGCTTCACTCACTCAGAGCTTCCACCCAGCTTCACTCACCAGAGCTTCCACCCAGCTTCACTCACTCAGAGCTTCCACCCAGCTTCACTCACACAGAGCTTCCAAGCTTCACTCACCCAAGCTTCCACCAGCTTCATCACACAGAGCTTCCACCCAGCTTCACTCACTCAGAGCTTCCACCCAGCTTCACTCACACAGAGCTTCCACCCAGCTTCACTCACTCAGAGCTTCCACCCAGCTTCACTCACACAGAGCTTCCACCCAGCTTCACTCACTCAGAGCTTCCACCCAGCTTCACTCACACACAGCTTCCACCCAGCTTCACTCACACACAGCTTCCATCCAGCTTCACTCACACACAGCTTCCACCCAGCTTCACTCACACAGAGCTTCCACCCAGCTTCACTCACTCAGAGCTTCCACCCAGCTTCACTCACACACAGCTTCCACCCAGCTTCACTCACACAGAGCTTCCACCCAGCTTCACTCACACAGAGCTTCCACCCAGCTTCACTCACACAGAGCTTCCACCCAGCTTCACTCACTCAGAGCTTCCACCCAGCTTCACTCACTCAGAGCTTCCACCCAGCTTCACTCACTCAGAGCTTCCACCCAGCTTCACTCACACACAGCTTCCACCCAGCTTCACTCACTCAGAGCTTCCACTCAGCTTCACTCACACAGAGCTTCCACCCAGCTTCACTCACACAGAGCTTCCACCCAGCTTCACTCACTCAGAGCTTCCACCCAGCTTCACTCACACAGAGCTTCCACCCAGCTTCACTCACTCAGAGCTTCCACCCAGCTTCACTCACACAGATGCTTCCACCCAGCTTCACTCACTCAGAGCTTCCACCCAGCTTCACTCACACAGAGCTTCCACCCAGCTTCACTCACTCAGAGCTTCCACCCAGCTTCACTCACACACAGCTTCCACCCAGCTTCACTCACACACAGCTTCCATCCAGCTTCACTCACACACAGCTTCCACCCAGCTTCACTCACACAGAGCTTCCACCCAGCTTCACTCACTCAGAGCTTCCACCCAGCTTCACTCACACACAGCTTCCACCCAGCTTCACTCACACAGAGCTTCCACCCAGCTTCACTCACACAGAGCTTCCACCCAGCTTCACTCACACAGAGCTTCCACCCAGCTTCACTCACTCAGAGCTTCCACCCAGCTTCACTCACTCAGAGCTTCCACCCAGCTTCACTCACTCAGAGCTTCCACCCAGCTTCACTCACACACAGCTTCCACCCAGCTTCACTCACTCAGAGCTTCCACCCAGCTTCACTCACACAGAGCTTCCACCCAGCTTCACTCACACAGAGCTTCCACCCAGCTTCACTCACACACAGCTTCCACCCAGCTTCACTCACACACAGCTTCCATCCAGCTTCACTCACACACAGCTTCCACCCAGCTTCACTCACACAGAGCTTCCACCCAGCTTCACTCACTCAGAGCTTCCACCCAGCTTCACTCACACACAGCTTCCACCCAGCTTCACTCACACAGAGCTTCCACCCAGCTTCACTCACACAGAGCTTCCACCCAGCTTCACTCACACAGAGCTTCCACCCAGCTTCACTCACTCAGAGCTTCCACCCAGCTTCACTCACTCAGAGCTTCCACCCAGCTTCACTCACTCAGAGCTTCCACCCAGCTTCACTCACACACAGCTTCCACCCAGCTTCACTCACTCAGAGCTTCCACCCAGCTTCACTCACACAGAGCTTCCACCCAGCTTCACTCACACAGAGCTTCCACCCAGCTTCACTCACTCAGAGCTTCCACCCAGCTTCACTCACACAGAGCTTCCACCCAGCTTCACTCACTCAGAGCTTCCACCCAGCTTCACTCACTCAGAGCTTCCACCCAGCTTCACTCACACAGAGCTTCCACCCAGCTTCACTCACACAGATGCTTCCACCCAGCTTCACTCACTCGGAGCTTCCACCCAGCTTCACTCACACACAGCTTCCACCCAGCTTCACTCACACACAGCTTCCACCCAGCTTCACTCACTCAGAGCTTCCACCCAGCTTCACTCACACAGAGCTTGGCGTCTGTCAGGCCATCAATCACCCCTTATCGCACGTCTCCCAGGCGACACCTCCAGTGCCAGCGTACAACCCCGGGCCGACCCCGTCTGCAACCGAATTTCCCATTAATGAGGTGGTTTGCTCGTGAAACCTTACGTTCCACACGCGCACCTGCCTGCCTTCGGTTTCCCTTGGCTGGCAGTGCGCACCGTGTATTTTACCACACTACATATATATATAGACACAGACACAAACTAAGCTATCATTGGAAGGACGTTATTAACCAGTTTAAGTCATAACTGGCTGTGATGTTTCCATCCTACCTCCCGATGTTAATAGTTATTTTCGACTCTCTGGTTTTACATTAACAGGTTAAATGTCTACACCCATTTCAAACCTTTAAAACATCCTGCCTCAGCATCTTTCCCGCAATTTTTTATCCTGCTGACGATTGCTTGTGTTGCGATTGAAACGTCATAGTTTTTTGTTATTTTATTTGAACCCATGTACGTGACTTCACCAAAAGACCCAAGAATATACATTCTCAAATGTTATTGTACCCAGGCTAAGGTCAATGCAGGGTGGTGAGAATCTATAATATTTGGTTCTTTCAGTAAAGTCACACAGGTATTAAATAAAATTAAATCACGACGTTTCAGGTGCAACACAAGCGTCCATCTTCAAGGTGGGACAACCACAGCAGAAGTGGGCAAAAGGGCTATAGCCTCTTGTCACGGCAATCAATGGATTTGTGAATGAACTACATGAACCAAGTCTTTCTGCTTGACAGCTCATCGGATTCCTCCAGTATAAATAAATATTCTGAATCTAATTTGTGTCATGTATGCATACCTGTCAACCCATACGGTTTTCAGGTCCATACAGCCGTTTCAATCCGGGCAAAAAAAGTGTTTATTTGTTTGTGATTCTCCCTTGTGATGGGACTGTCGGATGAATGTTGAGATTGATAATGGCACGGGGTTACCAATCAGGTCTGAATTTGTCTGTAATAAGGTAGGCACTGATAAGGGTTGACAGGTATGTGTATGTGTGTGAGATTATGACATTTGCATGAGTGATCTTTATTCATGATACGTATGATTCTGATACAATGAAGCAGGAGGCATCAGACGGTCTAATGGCACCTACACTGTTTGCGGACGTAGCCTTGCTTGTGCATAGCCTCCAGGAAGACAAAGTCACTGAAGAGGGACCGCTCCAGCACCACTCCCTGGCCTGTAGGGAAATCACGAGCAGAAAAACATCAACCTCCAGTTACCAATGCGGTCAAACAAGAAACGTAATAAATGCCTTGCAAACATGCAACTTTGGAAATGTACACACAATGTATAGCACATATATAGGTATCCCTCGATTTACGAATGCTCGGTCTACGAAATTACACGATGACACAATTGACAAATTATTAACACTTTTCAATTTCCGAAATCAAATGTTTGCATCAAACAAGCCACCCGGGAGGCTGTGTCATCATCCATCAACGACAGCGTCACGGTGTCCCTGCAGTGCAATAGTAGCACCTCTACATTGCCTTTCCAGTCATCCCAACATGCAGCAGATCTTTAAGTGACTTCCCCGAATTGGTGAATTATTTTTGTTTTCAACAAATAATTATTCAATCGTTTCAAATATTTGTTCTTTAAATTAATGGGTAAAGCCATTGCGATTCACAAAATTTAGTTTCACTCGCGATTTTTGAAGAATGTAATATACATCGTACATCACCTCAGCCACACGCCGGCTGAGGTGCATGGAGCAGTGATATCTCGACAGCAATTATGCATGGGGGTTGTCTTACCGGTAGCTGATTGTCTGGTGTCGTGGGATGACAATATCTCGAGCAGCCAAAGCTGTGTTCGTGGGTCCATATTTTAGATCTCGCTAGGACGTGCACAAATATTCTGGGATTTGCACAACACAGTTCACAGCCTCTGCCAATTGCTGCCTGACAAATTGTATGTTCATTTCCTGTAGTCCGGTCCTAGGAGCTCAACGAGGTTGCACCTGGAGGCTTTGAGGCTTCACATGCGAGCGGCCGCAGGAAGGTCGAGATCGGTTGAAGTGCTATATACACTGAAGGTCGGTGAACCCACGAGCGGTTGCTGAAGTGCTCCGGGTAAAGGGATCAAGGCATTGAGCTCCGCATCTAGAAGCTTTCCATCACTTATGAGGCAATAGCTTCTGACAGCCACTTCAAGAATTTCAATATGCAACAGCTCCATGCATTGTTCTCGAATTAAAAGGAAGGAAAACTAATTTCCTGCTCCCATTTCTATTTGATGTCTAAAAGTGTACACTGCTATGTAGGGGAAACTCGAACACTTAGGTTGTGCTGCAACTCATTATAATGGGTCAAGAAACAAAGGAAGCTGCCGCGGTGCAATGGTGAGCACACTTCACTTGCAATCCAGGTCACCGGTTCAATTCCATCTCCCAGCGTGGGAATTGAAACAATGGAGCAAGTTTCTTAAATTCCCTCTCCTCTGTCCACCCAGCAGTATTCATGTGTGCACCAGTTAGTGGATCGGAAGGTCAAATGCGGTGGGGTAACGTGGGTTCTCTATCTCTTCCTATTAAAATGCCACTGCAATTCCCTGTTCCTGACATTCAGAACTGGTAATCAATTCTGAAAATGGTTACCTGTTTACTAGTAACCATTTGACAACACTCATTAATATGACAATATTTAACAAAGCTGAAACATTCCTGAGCAATTACAATGTGAATATAGCATTCATCCTCATCACCGTGTAGAGTGAACTGTGCACCCCACGTTGCTTACCGGTGCTGAGCAGGTGAACCAGTGCATCCGAGTACTGCAGCATACGTATGGTGTACATCCACAGCTGCAGGCGAAAGGCATTTCCATCCGGGTTGTTTGGGTTGGCTAAGAACTTCTCCAAGCTGCAAATGCCGCTGTAGCACGGATCAAGGATGGACCTGTCACCCGTGATGTGGTCCCAGTAGTGCACATCCGCAGCTGGCAAATGCAGCATGTCTAGCACAAGTGGCAAAGAAAAAATATTACACGTGCTACTCACATTGATCGTTTTTGCGTGTAGAGGGCGCTCCATTAAATATGTAGTGGATCCAACTGAGTCGCAGACGTACTTCTTGGAGGTAACACATTTATTAACACCAACACATAACACAAAGGGGTTACTGCCCCTTTACCAGATAACCTATGGTGGTGGACCACCAGGCTAACTACGCTAGTTACTGGGAGTAGCTACAAAGGACAGGACCGTAGCTGGGGTCCTCATCCACGTGTTGGTGACTTCTTCTTGGACGTAGAACGTAGATCTTCAGATGACGACAGCAACGCTGAACCCCGTTCCCTGTGCGGACCCGGTTTATATCCTCCTGGGACGTGGCTGGCCCCGCCCTTGGCCACGACCACCTTCGAGAAACCTCTTGTCGTTTCTCGACCCTTCCCGTAGGATCTCACCCTGGCACGTGACCACCCCCTAGCCCCCACCTGGGGCCCTTGTGTAGATCTTACTAGTCACGTGCCTTCCAGGGTCAACCAGAGTGCCATGGCCTAGGGTAACCTCATCCCATGGCGGACACTCTCACACTCCCCCTGTAGGAGTCAGCACTGCACGCCATGTGTGGTGCCACTGCGCTATCCCAGCACTCACCGAGCCCCCTCTAGGGCTGGTACTACACCCACCTACGGGTGTCCGCGATGACAATGCATTGAACGCCATGCCTCGCTAGAGCCGGCACCACACGGTGACATCTGTGATGTTACTACATCGCACGCCGTGCCCCTCTAGGGCCGGCATCACACAGTGACCCCCCCCCCTCCGTAGCACTCAGCCATCCCAGCTGTCAACTCCCCCTTTTAACGAACTAAGTAAGGTGATAAAAGTGAGTAAAAAGTGATTACCGCTATGTGTGCCTCAACAAGTAACAATAACCAATTAAATACCCAAACTCACCTATACAATATTTACACTACCTACAAATGTACATTAACAAAGGGGAGAAGGGTGTGAGTACAGAACAACACGAGTGAAAAAAACACAGTGCAGTGCACTGCGAACGCTCGGAATTCCCTTTATCGCTAACATCTCCCACCCTCACAGAGTAACAACACTCGCAAGCACAATAAGGGTTAGGTTCAGCCAATAACCGATACGGCTTACCGAGTGTGACAACCAACTGAGGAAGTCAGAGTGTGTGTGTGTGGGGATCACGAAACCCGAAGAGTTTTAGAACGAGTTCTTGTGGCCGAGCCTCCAGGGAGGTGGACTTTCTCTCCCTGGAGGTCACGGGGGAAATATGCCATTGTCCCTTCGAGTCCGGCTCCTCACGAAGAGCAGTAGGCCGGGTTGACGGGTTCTCCTCTCCCGAATCCAGTGGAGA